ATAAGGAAGGGTTTCAGTCAGTTTACTAAACATGTCAACCACATCTAGGACATACTTCTTGACCTCAGATGGAGTGAGTTCAATAAAGTCCATCACTAAATGATTAAAAGGTGTTCTTGGGAGGTGGATAACCAGATGGAGTCAGCTGTGTTGCTCTCTGTGCACTGAGAGTAGAACAAATCATGCAGGCCTGGCAGAGCCATTCAGCATAACAGCTGAAGCTTTTAGTAAACCTTTGTGGTGTTAAAGCAGCAGTTATGCTGGATTGTGACGATGATCCAATCCGTGTGTTAATTTTGCAAAATGTGAAAAGAAATGTTTAGGAAGGCATGGTTTCTCATTTAAGCCAAGCCAAATGCCATATTCATCAGGTTTTGCATCTGCAGAACTCCAGTCATGCTTCATGCTGTAGCAAAGCGCTGCAAGCTACAGTATGAGGTCCTGCAGGGGAGAGGAGGGAGTTGTGTGAGTGTCAGTGGACACTGTGAAGAGAGGAGACACATAAAGTGTGAACTTCCCGGAAGCATTTGCTCTGTTCTTTCCACGAGACACAATGTATGTGGTAGAAGAGTGCAAGTAAATTTACTCACAGAAATAGCCTTCAGTAAGAGGATTGCATCCAAAAGATAAGAAACTTGTTTGGCATTCAAAATGGGCTTTCTGTCAGATTTCAAGAATAAACGATGTTTCCAAAGTGATGAAAAACTAAGAGCCACACCAAAGCATCTCTCAAGCCAGTATAAAGTGTCACCGTTTTTACTTCAGCCAACTTACAGGCTTTTGTTGTTTCATGAAAAGAAATAACAGCAAACCCAACCTGATTAACACCAGTTCCAGGGTTGCAAAAAGCTGAACCATCAACAAACAATAAAAACAAGTCAGACCTAGGTGTACAAACTTCATCTAGTACACCTACGCAATTGTGAGTTTCACCATCCTCCACAGTAGGAAGAAGGAGGGCTGGGTTTAATACAGTACACCTTTTCAATGTGACATTCATTATATCAACCAAAACAGAAGTTTATATCAGCCATCAAGCAGCACACAAATGACATGTTCTTTGATCCAAAAGAATGATTAACACTAGAAATCCCCCAGATACGATAATTTGCAATTAAATATAATTAGGTCGACGTCATCATGTTTAACCAACACCGCAATGATTTCGGTGCAGCCACCACTGCAGCATCAGATGATAACTGATCTGTACAATAAAAATAGCTGCATGAGCTGGAATGCTGTAGAAAGCAACACTATTTATACAATAATGACCATTTATACAATAATGACCATTATTTATTTGGAAGGAAATATATCTAAAATTTTCATCAGGCGATTTCTCCTCTGTCTCTCCTCTCCCCTCCGCTGCAGACATGCAGACAGCATCGTGAAACTGCAGTAAAGTTGGCAATATATTCACAGATACGGCTTTTCTGGATTAATAACTTGTCTGCGGATGATTTATTCTGCAAAACAGACAACTCTCTGCAACCAGAGCAAGGCAGGCAGTGAGTTACAATCGTAGTTTCCTAAAAACGAGTCTCCTATCGCGCTGGGAGAATTACATTGGACCCTATGGGGAGAACACTGCTTCGTAAATGCTCCGTCTGCAAGTTGCAATATAATCAGAAACGATATTCAAAAGCGTCACCAAGGAGAGGTGGATTATTATCACATTTATTGGATTTGAAAATAATACCTTTCTGAGGAATTTCCAAAAACCTAAATGACAATTGGCACCTCAATGCTATTATTAGAAAAAGTATAAAATGAGCAATGACTACACTACAGATCACTGTAGTGCCTCCAAACTTGTAGGATACACAGATAACCTCATCTGGATCATACTATAACTCTTACTTTGGGAAGATAGGCCAAACTTTATTTTTGGAGATTTTTTCTTTGTTATTATAAGCATATAATAGCTAGTTATTACACTATAGATCAGTGTAGTGTCTCCAAACATAGATAACCCAATTTAGTTCACACTACAACTCTTACTATGGGAAAATGTGCTAAGCTGTTTTTTTTTTAAAGATTTTTCATTGTTATTATAACAATATAAAAGCCAATAATTACTTATGACTTAGATAGATTTATTTTGTAATTTTGTATACACATGTGTAAACAAAAAGAAATTTAATTTAGAACAGCTGTACAGAATTTCATATTCTTAAGTGCAGCCTTGTAGCATATATCGCTATAGATCATTGTAGTGTCACCATACTTGTAGCACACATAGATAACCTCATTTAGTTCATATTACAACACTTACTTTGGGAAAATGTGCCAAACTCTATTTTTTAGATTTTTTTATTATTATTATAAGCAGGCCAGGTGTGCAATCTCTGCAACAGAAACCACAGCACTGAGTATACCTGTCACAAATGCAGGAAGGACTCACCTTGGGTTTGTAATAACTGCTAAATGGGACAATTGTAGCTTCATATGTAATGCTTTTCCTTGGGCGAAATAAATGTTACTCCAATACTGAAATCATATTGTTTGCCATTCTCTAAGCTGAAATGTTGAATGACATGAAAAGGCAAGAACAGACAAAATACAATTATTCTCTAAGTTGTACCTTCTTTCACATAGTGAGCTTTGCAATATAAGCTCTGGTCCTCTAACAGAGGCCTGGGAGTTTGAGGGTTCTGCGCAGTATCTTAGCTGTTCCTAGGACTGCGCTCTTCTGGACAGAGACCTCTGATGTTTTACCTGAAATCTGCTATAGCCACTCTCCCAGTTTGGGGGTCACAGCCCC